ACGCGGCCGCTCGCGCGCCAAGAGTGCACGTTGTCTATGGGCGGCGTTTGTCGCGCCCTCACCTGCTACGAAGGACGCGGAAGTGCTTTTGACGCGACTTTGAACGCTCGCGAATGACGTTCGCGTCCGTGTGCTAGGTGCTGCTAGTAACTGACAATTCTGACAAAACAATTTTCCCCCTCCATCATGCAGATTCGTTTTTGTTGTGGTTTATAAAGTGACATATTCATCTTCCTTATCAGTTTTCGTTCGATGGGTCTTTCACTTTGTGCTAGGATCTACACCGATGATTGGCAACTAGTCTTCATTCTAATCAGCAAGTTTTCTTCATTCGGCGTTTTTCCATAGGGTTTATTAAGTGCGGAATATTGTGGTTTGGAATCTCGTCGTTAATCACCTCTAAATGCGAACGAAGCATCTCTGTGAACAAAGACAATACCTTACGTTAACGTTGTGCGACCTTCTCTTCGAGGCATGAAAAGAGGTTTGAGGTTAAAGGTTGCTGATGAAATGCATCAAACCATTGTGCAATGTTTACTTTTTTTCATTCATTGAGACGTGTTATTAAGAGATAATAAATGAAGTGATTTTGAGAGGTAGAGAAGTGTTCTCTTTTAATGCCGTCAGTCTTCAATTTATTTATCTTGGTTGAGGTCCGTGAAATTTCTATTGATGATATGTGATTTCTTTTGAACGTTGAACTTTTCCGACTTAACGTTTGTCACGCTAATAGAAAGAAACATTTGGCAGCTTAAAGTCATTTACACGTTAAGGGCGACACCCTTATTTCGTGTGTGTTATTGGTGTGAAGTGAGTTAATGTAAATATATACTTTGCTGTCTGGTCCAATATATGTAGATCTATGCGGCGTAAGGTTTGTCGAGTTTCTCAATCCGCTGTGACAACGGTGACAGATACGTTTGCCTTGAAGCGAACCTTGTGAATAGTTAGCGCATTTTCTTGTGAATTGATGCCGGAAACCACACATTCATCTGCGCAGTTGGGTTCACCCTTTTGAAGGTACTTGCCGGCCAGAAACAAATTACGTCAAATGCTCTGTATCTGTACCATGATGTACATTAGTTCATATGCATTTGACTGTAAATGACATGCAGACTGTAGTACGATCTTGGAAGAGGCGTTCGGAACCAATATTACTACACTGGCATTCCCCGCGGGGATATTTTGTTATAAAACACACATACGAGGGTTGCGACGTGTTTTGTGGTAGGAAACGGCCGGATCGTTCCACGAGGCCAGTTATTTTTCGCCTCTAGAGCAAAGCGCCGCTCATGGACAGTTCTTGGCACATCACTGATCTAAAAACACCAGACGCAATGGCGCCGTCGAGCTGTCTCCCGCCGCCTGCCCGCGTTGCGAGGCCAACAGCGAGTGCGATATGCGAGGAATACGTGTGTGCGAGGAACGAAGTTGCGCTCCTCACTGTTGACTTAACATTTAATGTTGCCCGACGATTAAATGTTCTTCAATAGTTTTAATTATTTTGGGCCTGAATTATTCACGATCGTAAAATAAATTGATTGAAAAAATGAGATATAATAAATGCTCATGGTAATGAATGACAGTAACATATGTGAGGTCGAATAGTAAAAAACTAATTAAGTGAAAATAATTAAATTCCCATATTAAATAATTTCAGAAAGTGTCAGATACTAAACTTAATAATCCATCCCAACAAAGTAAATAAAGTGTTTGTTTGTGAACTACGGTTATTATAAATTGTCCACAGATTTTTTTAGAAAAGTGATTACTTTCTTCAAATCTTCCCTTGAGAAGTTGTATATATACCTCTCTCGCCATCCCCATAAAGTCTTCTGTGGATTCTGAGAGAACACGATCCGGCTGAGAATTTCCGGCATAACCGAAATGTTCTTGGGAGAACACGTCATGCAAACATTTTAAGATGATAACAATCTAGACTAATATGTTGGAGATCTTTTTAAGTAGCGAAACCCACTTACAAAATGTTGACGTCTACCGAATCGTACTTTTATGTGTTTACAGTATTTTAAACTGTGCACGCAAAATTAGCTCGCTTTACATTTGCAAGCGTGAAAAGACACAACCAAGATCTAACTGATCGCACAAGAGTATAATTTTTAGAGGAATTTCTCTCCCGCCACCTCTGACTACGCCTTGGTAGAGTGGGCATTCCTTGTAACATTCAAGGCGAACAAGGAGGTGGAAATATTTGACGAAAATTGTCTATAAAATGTTGACATATTAACCTCTTTTACAAGACGTACATGATATTGCCATGGTTTTTACAGTGTTTATTTCGATTGCAAATACGAAATTGTTTATTTTTTGCCGTAATTTTATTTCAAAATATTTTTTAACTTCCTTTCGACTTAATGGAGCCTCTGAGGGAATTATTTTTTATTTCGGGAGGAGTTTTAGTCACCCAGGTTTTCACCATTAGCCAATACACGGGTGACTTTTCTGCAAGAAACCCTGTTTACGTTTACAGACGCGGCCCAACCTCACCGGAGTTCTTATCGGAGATGTGAAGTCCCAGGCGAACAATTCCTTCCGCGTGGCGGCATGTGCAACTTAACGCAACATTTAACTCGAAAGCACTAGTATTCAACGATGCGCGAGAGAGTGAGGTGCACAGAGGCTTCAAATATATGCTGCCCATTTAACTGGAAAAAGAATGTGTGCGACTGTCTCGCTTACTCTAACAACTCTTTATTATTCGTTATTATGCTTGAGAAATATGTGTACATGAATATTTTCCAGCACAGTTTCAGAGAACCCCTATCTAGCAAACCTTAACAGAATGATAAAAGTCGATTGTAAATAATTTTTTTTAGCATAAGTCCTTCCCTATATCTTTCGTTTGCGTCATTCTATGTCGAGTTTCTTGACTAGGCACACTAACGTAGATAATACTATCGAAGACCCGAGTGTTTCTGGCTACAGTAGTGTGCGTGTCACTTGACAGACAGCCGACGATATGGATCGTGTATGGTATGAGAAAGAGAACGAAATTACACTGCACACAAATGGCGGTCACCATTGTCTGCAACATTCTAAGCGCAACTTACCTGGTTCAGTAGGGAGTTTTTTTGCAGGCATAGAATCTAGCAATCGACTGCTATCTCGAAAATCTGTGTAAGCGCAGATGCGCAAAAGTGATGCTAAACTCGAACTGTGCAAGATGGATAATGGTGTCGATTGCTAATGCTTCGCCTCGCAAAAAGTCCCTATTTTCACGGTGTTCGGAGTGAAACGTATTCAAGGCTTTCAAATCTCCGTCCTCGCCAGCGCCTTGGAGAGATAGGCGTCTAGGAGCGGATTGGCGCAGTTTCTTGTGAAAACCTTCCGGCAACAGAGCTCTCTCTCTCTCTATAGGAAGTCTGCGTAAGCGATGCGAGATCTCCCCGTGACGAATCGAGCAGGAATGTGGAACGATGAACCTTCATGTAACACCGCGAGTTTCGTTGGAGAAATTGCTTCCTCCGATTACGCTGGAAGTTATCAAATGGCGAGAGCGCGACATAAAATATGCGAGAAAGGAACACTGTGTGTCAAGAGTTACCAAATATTCATACTCCGATTTAAACGTAGGGCCTGTTGACATAAATCAGCTGTAACGGTGTCATCAATCGGGAGATTGGATGACACCTACAGTAGTGACGCTTGGATGACATCATCACAGCTGACGATCTGTCAAAACATACTATGAATAAATCGAAGTATAAGTACACTACAAATTCTGAGATATCTCTTCCATATTTTCAAATACAACTTCGGCAACTTTTTACCTTTTTTAAATATGTTTTAGTGAAGATATTTGTCGTCTCAGGATGTTATTATTTTGAATAGTATTCGTAACGTTCTCTTGAAACTCAGGCGAACATTTTGCTTTTAGAGAAATGCATTTTGTCGGTGGTTTTTATACAAAACCTTGAGAGGAAATGAAATTGCGCAATGTTTTAATAGTATATACACACTTGCACATAGTGCTTTGAATTCTGACAATGACAACCACAACGAATACTGAACCCTTAACATTTAGTTGCTGTTTTAAAGTGTGGTCCTTCAATGCGGCATGAATTCGTTGACTTCCGTCTAGCTATGTGTTTTATATTACTTGACATTTACATTCTCTTATGCTTTATATTTTAGATTTGCTGCAAAAATGCCCATGTTAATCACGACCGTTGCAATCATTAATTAAATATAACTAATTAGTGAGTAAATAATAATTTAAATAATTAATAATATATTTTTTTATTCAACTATTATCCTAAATCGTATATTTGTAAAATTGGAAGAAGAATATTAGCGAAAGAAAGAGGGGAAAAAAGAGCAGCAAATTACGGGGAAAAAAAGAAGAAAAAAAAAAACCAATCACTTTCTGGAAAAATTGTTTTGTGATTCACGTGACAAGAAATTGTAATAATCACTGTTTTGATGTTTTAAAAGTGGACAAATGCTTTGATTTCAACGCTTCTCCGCTGTTTTCGTGCCGTGTTTACTGAAAATCTCGGCGAAATGTGTTTGAATGAAGGTGCTACGGCCTCGGAGTTCACGATATTGCGCGTAATGTCAACCCGCGCCTTAAACCAGCGGGGGGGGGGGGAGGAGTTAATCGTACCGACCCACATAGTGCGCTGGTAGCTCTCGCGCCGGCGCTAGAGCGCGCCTCAGTTCTGCCGGCGCACGGCGGTCTCAAGGTCGCATGTTTGCCTGTCGCGACGTGCGTCTGGGCTCCCAGCTGATTGGCCTCCCCCCACGCGGATCAGTGGCCTTTTGTGCCGGCAGGTCCCCTCGTTCCCTCCCCGATCGAGGCCCTTTCGTGGCAGCTATTTGCCGGGATCTCACAAAAGGAACTGCAGGTAAAAT